AGTGCCAGATCTGCGACAGACATCGGTGATCATGGTTCTCCATTCATTCCTTTGTTCGGATTCTTTTATAAAAGCTACGTTTCCGTGATCTTTCCCCGATACCCATTTGTTTAGGTTCCCTAAGTATGTTGCTCTGGGCCTACCCCTGCCTCGCTTGCCCTCAATTTTGCCAGTGAGAGCTAGATGTTCATGACCCTTATGTCTATTCAGGTGTCCCAAAAAACTGCATTTGTCGTTTCCTGATTGTTTTTAAAAGTGAGCGTCCCACGTGGGCTTCATCAAGCACTACCATATTTGATTTCCTTTCCTTTCACAATATTCTTTGCAGTCTCCTAGGAAATCACATTTCTGTTGCTTCTATTTTTTGTTTCCACTGTCTTTAGTGATTGTCCAGCATTCACAGCCATATAGAAGGGTTGACCATGCATAGCATTTCAGAACATTCATTTTGGTAGTCATTGAGATGTTTCTATTTGTTCAAGATTGCGCTCATTTTATTTAAACCAGCCTTAGCCATTGTAATTCTCCGTTTTATTTCTGTGGAAAATTTGGCATCAGATGTTATTATATATGCTAGATATTTAAACTGTTGGACTTGTTTGATCTGTTCACCTTTGCTAATGGGATTACAAGTAGGATTTGCTGCTTTTTAGGATAATAATACCCCGCATTCTGTTTTCTATACATTCAACAATAATCCTTTATGTTCACGTTCTGTTACAACAGTATCTAGAAGCGATTGAAGGTCCTTTTTTGAGTCTGCTATTAAAACTGTGTCATTGGCATATCTGATGTTATTAATATTTTCTCTATTCACTTTGAAACCTGGACATTCTTCTATGTTTCTAAGGATTGTTTCATTGTACATGTTAAAGAGGTCTGGTGACATAATACATCCTCTTCTAATTTGTTTATATTCACTGTTTTCCCCATTAATTCGTACAGCAGCGTTTTAGTCCAAGTACAAATTCCTGATAATTTTGAGATATTTTCAATCGATGTCTAGCTTGTCCAGTATTTTAAAATAGCTCATCATGTCTAACTTTATCAAACGCCTTTGAATAACCTATGAAGCATAAATTTCCTTCCTTAAAATAAAACAGTATGTGGTTTGTCTCTTGACTGTGGCGTGTTTCCTTTTCTCTGTTTCAGATTAGCCCTCAGCCTTTATCTCAGTTGAGGATATGGATGCCATGGCTAGTAGACACAAGGGTATCCTTTCTGTGGACCACCAGCTCAGAGATCATGGCGACTGCAATACCAAGCAGAAGCCGGGCGGGAAAGCCTCTTAGTGACACCACCTCCGACTTATACAATAAAGATTTCTCTTCCTGTCACGACATTGGATGTCTCTGTCACGATTTTAGCTCTCTCATTGACCGATATTGACTGAACTTGTTCAAAAATGACCTCTGCTCCAGAATGATTGGAGGTCGGCAGTTGTCTTCAACGTGTGATCGAGTATCCTTATTTTTCAATTGTGCTTGAGTAACAATACGTGTATTTTTTCAACATTTCGCTTCCAATTCTTTCCGGACAATTGAGATGTGCTGTGCTCAGAGTGTATTCTTGTTTCAGTATTTAGCAGTTCAGCAATGACTTTTATATTGTAGTAGTTATCGGTAATACTAACTGCTTCAATTACGAATTAATTAGTACTTTCAAGGAACGCTGCAATAATAATATTGTTATAGAAAAAACAACAACCCTGTTTTAATATGAAGACTACGTAACAGATTCAGACCCCATGCCACGATCTCCGACACGCGTGAGTGTCAAGAAAAATGCACCGGGGTCGACAAAAACCGTGAGACTGACCCCCCAGACAAAGAGTCGTTTTCTGTAGCAAGAGGCGTGATATATCTCCCCGCCAGCACAGCAGCCCGTCACCTCCATGAGCTGGCTCAGGCGGTTGCGGGCTCGCCATGTTCGTTTCTCATGCCAAAGTTCGCATCGTGGGTCTGGGCGGTCGCTCCAAGCGGCGACGTCCACACCGGAGGCGTCTAGCCGTCAAGGAGGTGGTTCGCATGCCTTGTCTACTGCCTACTGTGCTCACCGTCTTCCTGGGATTGCTCGCTGTGGCGGGCGGAGCCGGCATGTCAGTCATCGGCTTCGTTCCCACCAGAGACTCCGCCCAGAACAATGTAACAGACATAGCAGTACCGCCTGGGGAAGGGCAGGGCGTGGTGGACGCGAAAAGTGGAGGACCAAGCGCACAGGTGTCAGCTGTAGGGATGGACCAGTCAGCCTTGAGCGAGGCCAATGCGCAGCGCGAGAGATCTTTTTACCTGCTCAAGGTAAACAACAAGGGCATTACACAGCACGTGTGAATGATATATGTAAAACAGTTGTCTGTGCTTATTTCCCAGTGAGTGAGTGAGTGAGTCAGTCAGTCAGTCAGTCAGTCAGTAAGTCAGTCAGTCAGTCAGTCAGTCAGTCAGTCAGTCAGTCAGTCAGTCAATTGGGAACCGAGTGAGTGAGCGAGTGAGTAAGTAAGTGAGTGAGTGAGTGAGTGAGTGAGTGAGTGAGTGAGTGAGTGAGTAGTGAGTGAGTGAGTGAATGTGCAAGTGAGTGAGAGAGTGGGCGAGCGAGCGAGCAAGTGAGTGAGTGAGTGGGTGAGTGAGTGAGTGAGTGAGTGAGTGATTGATTGATTGATTGAATGAGTGAGTGAGTGAGTGAGTGAGAATAGAAGAGCAATTAAATATGTATTGCATAAGTTGGAGAGAAAGTTAGAAAGAGAACATGTTTGTGAGATAATTAGTGAATGAATAAGAAAGAGTTGTTTTTTTCTATAAACAATATCTCTAGTCACTCTGATGTCCCCGATCCCTAATTTATGTCTGTGTGTGTGTGTGTGTGTGTGTGTGTGTGTGTGTGTGTGTGTGTGTGTGTGTGTGTGTGTGTGTGTGTGTATGTTGGTGCACATATTGTGTTTGTAGGGGTGTGTATGTGTGTGCGTGCATGTTCTTGTGTATGTGTTTATATAATAATATGCTGCAGTAAAATCATTGTCTCCTTATCATCACCTCGTTTCAAGTGTCGACGTCGATTCGACCTTACTTTCGCTCGTGTGTGAAATTTGAGACATCGCATTCTAACTCTCGTCGATTGTCAGAGAGCACTGTTGTGTAAGGTATCTGTCCATGGTTTGTTGATACGTTCTTGTTTTTGTTTTCGTCTCTCTCTCTCTCTCTCTCTCTCTCTCTCTTTCTCTC